GGAAAAAAAAGGAAAATAAATAGGATTTGAAAAACAGGAAACAAAATTACAGCACAACCCATTTCAACTGTGTTTTTACTTGCTTATATTTAGCAATAGCATTGTTTCCAACAGTAGCTCAAAACCCATTTCCTTTTCCCTCATACGATCATGCCAAGCCTGGATAAACAAACAGCATTCCTCTCAGAATTGGTGAAAACATGACACTCAGTCTATGCCAGTGCAACTGCAGGTAGCTACAGGTACATACAGTCGCTCACAAACAGAGATGCATCTTCCCTTTATTAATAGTCTTCCTACTTACACAATGCACAAACAGAATTTAAAACTGTAACCAGTACACAACAATTTTGCTGGTAGTGTCTACAAAGCAGTGTTAGAAAACATGTGCTAGGTCAATTATCTATAATTTGTCTGAGACTTTGAAGCACTGTTCAGCTGGACAACACCACAGGAGCTATAGGTCCTCCCAAGAGCAGAACAAGACATTATTATTTTCAGCTGATTCAGCAGCCTCTTAACTCAGCAACTTGGAGAGGTGGCTTGTTTCTATTCCACAAAGATCGCTTGAATGCAGTGTTGTGCAAACAGCCACTAATACAAGAACTCACCATTTCAGTAAGCGAGTTGCAGTTTTGTTCCCTATTTCCAGTTTCCTCTTCAAATTGCAGACAGCCCCTCCAGCCACAAGCAATGGCTGCTCCCCTATCTGCCTTCTTAAAACCAGAGAAAAACCCAAGCTGAAGATTACAGAACTGGGTATTTTCTTCCCCGAAGATCAGAGCACTCTGGTCCAGTTCTTGCCACCTGATAGACAGACTCAATCCACCATCACATTGAGCCCACCAGCTTGGGCTGTCCCTTCTGATTTTAGGTGTGCTAGACTTTGTTTTCATACGAAGTTTATCAAGCACTCATCCAGGTTTAGTCCTGGAAGCATGTATGCCATCTGTTGCCAGCATACCCAGAATTTCCCCCTAGAAGCTCTCCAGAAGATGCCTATTAACCCCCTCCTAAGGACCCTAGGTTTGACAGCATGAGGATATTGCACGGTGCACCTTCATTCAGTAATAGATTTGCTGGTTCAATGAAAGATAAAATGGTGATTGTAGTATTGTAATAGACTTTAGATATTGCTAAGCTGGTGGGAGGTGAGGAGCTACAAACTATGAATCACAGGCCACTTCCAATCCATGCATTAATCCAGGATCTTGACATCTACACTGACACACATCAGCAGGTTTCCACCACTAAACCAATTTTTTAAGATTACCACCATAATGTGTGTATGGGGGAAGCTATTCCATTTCAGGCAGTTACTGGATTTGGCTATGCCCAGACCCAAAGTGTAGCATTCTTCAACGTTAACTTCATGTTTTATCCTTGTACAAGCCAATGAATAAGTCTCTAAAAAGAGCAGAGATGGAAACGCCCTTCATGGAAGAGCTAGCCAAATCCTCCCACTGGTTGCACTCCAGCAAGAAAAGATATTTATCAGTTATCATCATATAAACAATATTGCCTGTTTCCTGGCATCATGTAGCCATCTCTGGGTGTGGTTAACTCTGCCTGTGATTTAAAATGTCATGACACATTAGTTAAATTTGGTTTATTTCAAAATTCTTCACCGTGGGATATGTGCTGCATACAGGCTCGCCGGATACTGCTAAAACAGAAGCTATGGAACAGCAGCATCCTCTGCAAACCCAACATACAGAAAACAAAATTGCTTGACAAGTCTGTGACCACCAGACACAGAGCCTGGCAAATTTTTAAATAAAAACTGGATCTAAAGATGCTCCCTGCCCACTAATCTGAAGAAAATATTACAGCCACTTACTTAAAAAAAGAGAAGACAGGAGCTGCAGGAAAAAGTAAGTACAGGCGACCTGACCTTTTGCATCAACAGATTTTGGAGGGTCACATACGACATGGGAAAAACTACTCGGTAAACACTCACATGAAGTTTATAGATCTTTGCTGCAAAAATCTCAGAGAGGGATAAGAAAAGAAAGGGAGTGGTTTATTTCAATTCCTGCCTTCTATTTCTGTCCATTAATTACATCAGGAAAACCACTGAATGAACCAGAGCCATTCATTTTGTTTCCTGTTGCCATTAGGCATGGTAAGAACCCCAGATATAACAGTTTTGAAATGCTTAACTGCAGGAATCTGGACATCCAATATTTTATCCATAGTAGTTCAGGATTGTGGTATTGTTTGACACACACTGTCTTATGGGAGACTGGGACACTACAGACCCCAGGGTAAGGACAGGGAGTATTATAATGGATCTTCTCATTATTCTAAAATCTATAATTAAAACTAAGCACCAGAAAAAAAAAGAATCCTCATAATCACTATGAAGATTTCTAATTCAACAAGTAACTTGTTCATGGCCCTCAGGGGCTAAAGGAATATCAATATTAAATGATAAAAACAAACTGGGGAAAACTTCAGCCTTTCCACTTCAAAGCTCTGCATTCCCACATCGCGGATGCAGTGGAAGCTTTGTGTAAGATATCATTTAAGTTTTCATGCAATACTCCAGGGCTGCGTGCTTTGGCAGCTCGGGCTCTTGGTTGACTACAGGGAAATCTCAGTTGGCCTCTGCTCTTGATCTTATCCTACTCCGTGATGCTTAACACCATCACACCCCGTCGCTCCTTGAGAGCTCTACCAGAACCTGACTCCGGGGTGGGAGGGGTACTACGGGAACCTGCAGCACCCCAGTGTGTTAAACATGCCACACGCAGCCATCGTTTTATAAGCAATGCCTCTAATGCATCATCTGCCTCGCCTCCTCCATGCTCTGCCTTCAGTGAGGGAGACTCCCATATGGGAAAAGCGATGGAGATGGAATATCTTTGAAGCAGCAATTAAGTATTAAGAGGCCATACAGGAACTTCTGGTTCCCCTATTGATTTGTAAAAATCAAACATCTGAGAAAAGCAGCTCTATGGGCCGAGCACAAGGATGGGAATCAGGAGCTTTACTTACTCCCAGTTCTGCCCTAGACTTCTGGTTGACCGTGGGCAGCCCCTGCGTGTGCCCGTGTCCTAAATGAACAGGCTTGAGCGTGGTTACCCACTGTCAGTCTCGGGCTCTCCAGATGCGAAGCTTGACACGACAGCAACATTGTCTGTGGGTGAGGGATTATTCTCATCTGCTCTTTTCAGGGGCTAGATTCACACCTCCTGGAGGTGTGACTCCACCGAAATGCTGTCCCTAAGAATAGTGCTCATCACGCCACAGTTACACAAGTCCAGATCTGGCGGATGAGCTGTTGCTTTGGGGGTGTTTTCAGAAGCCCGTCTGTGACGTCCGACCGCGGGCAAACGCTCAGCAGATGGCTCCTACCTTTGTTCGCTGAGCAAACAAATCATCTCCTCGCCATAAAAGCCACTGGAAATAAGAGGCACTGCTGCTTTAGTGGCTAGATTACAGGGGCTAAGGGGTGATACCCAGAAAAGGCAGAGTACGGCAGGGTATTGAACAGCTGAATTTATACCCCTAGCTCAGTGACATATTAGCTTCTAGCAACTGGACAACCTGTCCCAAAGTAAACTTTAGCAGAGAGGTTATGCTGCAGCACCTGGCAATTCCACTGTTATCTGTATAGCACAAAGTACAGACGGATGAAGGAGAAACGGCTCTCTCAGGTGCTTTGATAAAGCTTTGTAAGGAGGCGTTGGGAGTGCAATTCAATGGCACTTTGTTTAACTGCAGCAGTGCAGTTTGAAAGGACACAGATGCCATGCGCAGAAATGTGATCACAAGGCTGTGAACATGCTCAAGCACATATTTAATGAACTCATATAACAGGGCATGTGGTGCCATGGAGGCTTTGTTTTTGTAGGGAGCACAGAATAGTCAGACCAGGTCAGTTTTAAGCTTACCAATTCCGCTGCCTTATTCCTGATGGTGGGCAGCAGCCCCAGCTCAATAGAAGACTGAGAAAGGCCAACAGGATGCTGGTGAGGTTCATCTGGTAAGATCTCATCCCAACTCCCAGAAATAAAAGACTGGCTAAACACCAGAAATAAAAAGACCTATATCTAACACACTATTATCTTCCTTTTTTTCTCTTTTTTCTCCTTTTTAACAGTTTTGTCAATTTCTTACATAGGTAACTCCTCAACCCCCTCTTGGCAGCAATAATGGAGTGAGTTCTAGGATCCCATCACGTGTTGGGTATTCCAGGAAAATCTCTAGGAAAATGTGGCCACTGGTTGTGTTTTCCTATGCTGTTCCTTCTGCCTGGTATCATCCCATTACAGAGCAGTTAATCATCACTGTGGTGAGTGTCCTCACCACAGTGGTGCAGAGGAGGACACGGAAGCAGACAGAAGTGGCGTGGCTTGAGGACCTCATGCCATTGCTCGCAGATGTGCCATGCACAGGATGTAAAGTCATCTCCTTCAACTACATTGCCCTCTCCTCCTGCTCAGCTCAGTACCTGAAGCTGCTGCCAGGCAGGGAGGAGAAGTGAAGGGGAGGGCAGAGCACTGCCAAGTGGTGCAGAGGAGGCAAACTCCAAACCACCATACCCTGTTCGTTAAGGTCTCACACAACCAGACTCCCAGCCAGTGCAGTAGGAGTTTTGTCTCCATGAGGTTTAAGCTAAGATGAAGAGTGGAGGACTTGGTCTAAAGGAGTCTATGGACTTCACTGCAGCTTACGTCTGGCACAGCTCAACCTTTCTGTGCTTGTCAGGGCCTTGATATGCCTTAAGCACCTTGACCTCACTAGCATCTCCATCCACAATGCCTGTCCAGGGCTCAGAACCTCACTTA